AAACCCCCCCCCCCCCCCCCCCCCCCCCGCCAGCTCGGCGTGGACGTGTCCTGCTCGGACACGGGGTGTCCCCCAGTGAACATCAAGGCGGCGGGCCTTAACGGGGGCACGACGAGGGTCAGCGGGAAGATCTCGTCGCAGTACCTGTCGGCCCTGCTCATGGCGGCGCCGCTGTCGTCGGGAGAGGTGGTCATCGAGATCACGGACGAGCTCGTGTCCGCCCCGTACGTGCACATGACCATCAAGCTCATGGACAAGTTCGGGTGAGAATGTTGCCGCTGCGGTAATGCACATATATGCCCAAGTTTTTTCTTTTGCGTGTTGGCGGTCTGCGAAGCTGTGGCGAGCAGAGCTGGTTAAAACGAACGAGAGCTTCTTAAGACCATGTGCGAACCACGGCAGCGAAGTAGTTTTCAGCCCCCCACCCCCGCTCTGTCTCACCCAACCCACTGATGACGACAAAACCCCCATCTTCCCCGCCGTGGCCCGGACACCGCGGCAGAGTCAAGGTTAAGAACGAGGGGGACATGCGGTTCACCATCAAGGATGGACAGAAGTACGTGTCCCCGGGTACGATAGCCGTCGAGGGCGACGCCTCCTCCGCCTCCTACTTCTTGGGCGGCGCCGCCATCACCGGGGGTCCCGTGACTGTACGCGGGTGCGGCAGGGACAGCGTGCAGGTAGGACGCGAGGGATGGTGCGCGAATTCTGGTGTGTGTGTTGCAGGGAAGGAAATATGGTCGAGACGTTTGCGCCGTGGTAAAAAAGGCATGGGAAAGGATTGCTTTGCAAGGCGAGCCAACTATGACAATTATGCGCAGAACGTGGCCCATTCTCCCTGAACTTCTAAATTTTTTAGGTCTTCATCGCATGGTGTCATAAACACGCTACATGTAGCAGCACACAAGGCAAAGGTAAGGTGGAACGCAAACTATGTCCACGCCGCATGCGTCCAGGCTGAATGGATGTTGCACGTGTGTTGATGGCGAAAGCACGCACCGGGTGCTTGTGCCCATGGTTGAGGTTCCTGACTTTTCTTGTAGAAGGTTTGAGGTGAAACTAACGGTTTTATTCAGTACTTGAAGTATGATCAACTTATTGTGCGGTTTGGAGAGTATTTTCCGTCTCTTTTTTCGAGTCCCATGGAGGGCAGGGCCGAATCTGTGAAGCGTTGCAGTGCGTGCGCTGCACCCAGTTCCTGCCATACCAGTTTGCACATCTCCTCACACTACAACCGCTGATTATGTTTGGAAAATCGACCTTATGTCCTCCATCTTTCTCTCTCTCTCTCTCTCTCTCTCTCTCTCTCTCTCTCTCTCTCTCTCTCTCTCTCTCTCTCTCTCTCTCTCTCTCTCTCTCCCCCCCCTCTCTTGCATCCAATGCTCCTTCGTCATTTTTTTTTTCGGCTACTCTCTTTTCCTCTCTCTCTCTTTCCGCAGGGCGACGTAAGATTCGCCGAGGTGTTGGAGAAGATGGGCGCGACTCTGACTTGGGAGGCGAACGCCATGACGGTTAGCAGGGACCTGGAAACCCCTCTCAGAGGCGTCGACGTGGACTGCGGGGAGATTCCGGACGCGGCGATGACCCTTGCGGTGATAACCTTTGTTTCCCTCTTGTTTGTTTTTGTTTGTTTGGTGCTTGGCGTGATGGGTTATAGCCTCTCGGTACCGCTATTTTAGGGCTGACTGCCTCTCTCAGAACAGCGTCGAGGTTGGATGGGGTAGAAGGGTATGTTGCCTGGCTGTGGGAAACGCAGCAGAGATGCGGTTTGGAGCCTTCGCGAGCATGCACGGCGTTTCGGTGGCTTGCACTCGATCCGGGTGCTTCTTTTGGTTCTAACTTGTTGCTCTGCGGCGTATGGACAACAGTGAGGGCGCTTCGGAAGGAGTGACGACCGATGCTGCTGTTGGGGGATGAGCGACGATTTTTTTTTTTTTTTTTGTGCGCTTGGGACGTGTTGTTTGATGTTTTTAGGTCGGTGGTGTAAACGCTTTGGAAGGAGTGTTGGCCGTGACTACCAGTGGATGCGGGACGAGTTGGTTTTGCCTTTTTTATTTTTGCATACTTGTAGCGTGTAGTTTGATGTCTTTAATAGCGGTGTAAACGCTTTGGAAGGGGTAACGACCAGTGGATGCCCGGCGCGTTGACTCTTTCGGCGCCTCTTTTGCTCGTGCGGCAGTCTGACCATTTCTCTACGTGAGTACTTTGGTGTGAAAAGCGAAGATCAGAAAGAATCGCCAGCCCTTTCGTGCTCACGAACGTCAAGGACGTGCCTTGAAGACGAAGTCACGATAGTTTCGCAAGGTCTCAGATCCGATCCACTACATACGAACATAATCTTTCTAAAACCTTCTCGTTTCTTTTTTTTCTCCTCCGGTGCGTCTGCGCCAAAAGGTGATCGCCTTGTTCGCTGAGGGGCCCACGGCTATTCGCAACGTCTACAACTGGCGGGTGAAAGAGACGGAACGCATGAAGTGAGCGTAAGCTTGTGAAGTACTGTACCATGGCATATACCAGCGCGCGAACCTTTGTGTGGCACCTTGGACGAGCATGAATGAAGATGGCGACTACGATCTGTTTTTGGCATGCAGCTCGGCATTTTTGTTTGTTGTTGTGAGGTTTACACTCGTGGCAATCCCTGAACACCATGATGATGTGATGATGATTCACCTGGTTGTCAATCTCTTGAGCAGCAGTGCTTGCTGTCTCCTTGGGGTGAAACAGAAGGGGGGAGCGGACCCCTCCTTGCAGGGGGTGGCTGCTACGGCAATTTTCCCTTTTCAGCTCCCGCGTTACCCTGATGGCTGGCCTATTACCTACCATTCACATCCTTGTACTCAAATCCCATTATTAGTATACAACGTATGGCGTTGAGCCCGACTTTTTTTTCTTTGCCCTGCACACAGGGCAATCGTCACCGAGCTCGGGAAACTGGGAGCGGAGGTCGAAGAAGGGCGCGACTACTGCATCGTTACTCCTCCGAAGGCTGTTAAACCGAGGGTGGCCATCGACACTTATGACGACCACCGAATGGTGAGTCTTTATTCTCGCCTCTCGAAAAGCATCAAATTGTATGTATATATTTATATTTTATTCATCACCACGCCGGCCATGTATGATAAACTTTTTTGATCTTTTTGTCCGTGCTTGAAACACCGGGTGATTCCATGTCACACCTTGCTGGATGGCGTTCCGTACGAGTCTCTGCGGTGATTTTTTTTCAGCGTTCGTTCGGAAATGTGAAGACCGAAAAGTCGAGGACCCGTGTTGATTCCTTGTTGGTAGTTTTGGAAATTGGGGAGGTGCGTAACCGAGATGTTTTATGCATACTTGCACATGGGCGTACTGGGCCTGGCTGTTGGAGACACGCGTACGTACATAGGTGCTGACGACAGCCGCCGCCCCCCGACCCAACCGCGTGTTGTTTCACCCCTTGACCAACCGAATAAAACCGAACCGTTCCACTTCCAAACCGTACCGTACCGTGCTGTACCGTACCGTAGCGTACCGTACCGTACAGCCGGGGCCCCGTCCCACCGCGTGCTGTCTCCCCCCTTGACCAATCGAACCAAACCAAACACTACCGCTTGCATAACGTACCGTACCATATTCAAACGGAACGTACCCAGGCCATGTGCTTCTCGCTGGCGGCCTGCGCCGGAGTTCCCGTGACCATCAACGACCCTGAGTGCACGGCGAAGACCTTCCCGACGTACTTCAAGGTCCTCGGAGACCTGACCACGAACGAAGCGTGACGGCACCATGTGCTGTGCTGCTGAGTGGGAGGAATTTTGACGGGGAGACGTGGCCTCTTTTTTCTCTTTTTAGGGTAGTAAATGTAGTTGTGCGTGCAGCTTGTTGGTGGTGTTCGCGCTCAATCTCTCATGCAACCCGGGGACTGAATAGACCAGGACCTGTTGTCGTAGATGTCGTAGACACCGTCGTGTGGACCGTATTTTGCTCCGTTTACCGGTCTCCTCTCTCGCAGATGAGCATTCTCGGGGGGGGGCAAAGAGGCAACGAATTCGCCGCGTTTATTGTGTGCCGTTTTCTCCGCCGTATTTAGCCCTTATGCCGACGGTAACGTGTATTGCCTGTCAACTACGGTACGTGTCGTACCTCGAAAGGTTGGGGGAGTCTTTGTCGGACCAACGGGCCACACAAACACATGTCGGACGGCGGTTCTATTTGTTGTTGTTGTTGCTGTGTTCGTTTCGTGTTCGTTTGTATGCTTGCGTAGTCGCGTGGGCTGAGACGCGAGGTGAAGCCAGATTAAGCTACTTTTGGGGGGATTGATGGGATGGAAAATACCAAGAGAAGGAAGAGCGGGGTGGTGTTGCGTATTAGTAGGCCGGTCTGATTTCTCGTGAAATTCGATTCGCAACGCGTGTGATACCATCGAATAGCAAGTGCCGTGAATTCATGGCTGATTTTTCCTCGACTCTTTCTTGATGGGTAAAGGAGTAGTAGTTGGTTTGTTTCATCGAGAAAAAAAATCGAAAGTCATCGGGCTTTTGGGAAGGGGGCGGCCAGCAGAAACGAAACTGGACATCGAGCTGTGTCAGATGGACGGCTGAATGGAACAACCCCTGTCACCTTAGAAATCGAAGTCAAGCATCGCAGGAGGAAGTCGAGCAAAGAGGAGGTCCCTGGCGGTACAGTAGATAACTCCCTCCTGTCTTGGTGATGACCCTGGATGGTTCATCGGTGTGGACTGATGGCACTAGGGCACATACATGGGTGAACAAAGGGAAGCACACGCACACAAGCTTTCTCTTGCGTCCCCCCTGTCGGTATAGTAACTCTTTTCTTACGGCTAGAAAAGAGTGCACGCGTTTTTTATCCCGCTGTGTATGTCGTATATATATATGCGTAGATACGACTGACGAATTTTCATAGGTTAGACGGACTGACGTGCGTGGTCGATGATCACTCGTTCGCGTCATTTTGTCTTGATACAGTAAAAGGCTCACCACATCCTCTGACTGCCACAGGTCAACGAGGGGGGTGTGGTGGTGGTGGGTTATTATTTGAAGAGGACACGGTGGGTTTGGGAGGCTTTCGGTCGTGGCCTCCGTTGTTTCATTCATTCGTCCATTCTCGGTGCGGCCGCCGGCCCGCGCGGCAAGTTGTTGGTAGGATGTCTCACAGAAGAGTTGGTGCTTGCTCTGCTTTATTTTGTGTCACAGCAACCAAGTAGATAACGTACCAATGCCTGGTGATGCATCTCGCTCTCGAACGAACGGAGAGAGCCGGCAGGGAACCAACCCCAATCTTTTCCAGTAGACTAGTACCACACCATCTAACAAATCAGCCATTTTTTTTTTTTTTTCCGTGTGTGTACCTGGGAGTACCTGGGAGTAAGCATAATTTTCTTAAATAACACTGTCTCCACATCAGCTGCCCCACATATACAATTGTAACACTGTAGCATACCGTAGCGGCCGGCGGTAAATTCCTACTTCTACTATGTAGAAGCCTTGGCTCTAATCACTCAGTGTCGGTTGGGCTCAAAGTAAAGGTATGCGTACCAGGCGGGCCGGCACTCTGTAGACGAGAGGGGCACAGATGGCGAGAAAGCGCGAGCGAGAGAGATGTAGGTCTGACACAGCAGAAGTAGGTAGTATACATATGTGTAGATACATGCGAAGATGACAGGCATGCAGCAGTAGAGGCGACCAAGGTTAGAAGGCGGTCCAAGGGCGGGAAAGGAAGAAAAGACGCCGTGCATGCATCATCTTCACTCATGATTTGTTCGGCGCTATTGAGCAACATATTTCATATTCTACTTGTTTAATTGTCGACGCCAGTCTCTCCCAGGCGGACCAGGCGCGAGAGAGCAGACCGCAACGGACACAGCAGCAGAGGCGATCTGACCCAAAACCAAGTGGCCAGAGGAGCAACTTTGGAGCAACACAACCAATTCCCGACAGGGACCCCAATCCCCGGGTTTCGACCGCCATTTGCCATTAAAAATATGAGAAAAATCTCGAAAAAATATCGGAAGAAAAAAAAGAAAATACTTCGTGTACAATTGCCCTACACCGACCGACCACGAGAGGATCGGAGCGACCGACCGACTGATTGAGACTAAAGCAAGAGGAGGAAAATCGCCGCTCTCCAGGGAGCATTCCAGAATCACAGGTCAGGGCAACAAACCTGTTGAGCATACACACTCTGTCTTTGCTGTTGGTGTGCAAATATTTCCAACCACAGCAAAAGTATAACAGGAGATATTGTTGTGCAGGAGAAAGAAGGCAGGAGAACCTGCGTGTGCCTAGCTCTTGCGTGGCAGGGTGTGTTGGTTGGAGCAAAAAAATTGAAGAAAAGAGTTTGATTGAGTCGAGACAGCAGGGGCCGTAGCGCGGGGGGGTGTTTTTGTGCCACTTGCTGCTGGGACCGGATAGAGTGTCAAGAGGCGGGTGACATGGAGACGGGTGCTTCGTCTCCCTTGAGCGGGGGGAATACTCACTATGGGGATGCCAGCAGCGGTGCCTTCGGAGAAGCTTCGTGCATGGATGGGCTGAGCAGGATGCTGGGTGATCCTTCTGGACAGGTACCCTCACGACCCACATGTGTCGAGCGTTGTATTGCGAGGTTTTTCGCTTAGAGTCCGCCGTATCCCGAGAGCTTGTTCTTGTCGACGAGGCGCACGCCCGGTGGCGTTAGCCTCTCGCTGATGCACACTCCCGCGTTTCCCGCTGCATTGCTGGTTCAGTTCAGTTGGTTCTTTCAAATTGACGACGCAAGCGTGCACATGAAGAATATAGCAGACGGAAGCAGGGGCAACGCGCGTTACCCCCCCCCGTTAATAATTGAGGCGACTCGAACTACCTCAGTACGATTTGTCGTCGACGAAGCATAGCACCGCCACAGGAGGAGAGCATACGTCTTCTCTTCCTCTAGCCCCTCTCGTTGGCAAAAGCGGACGTTGTTGGTGTGTTTGTCGCCCTCTCTTCAGATCAAACGAATGATGCCTTCACAAATCTGTGCCTCCTTTTTTTTCCGATATTTCTCTTGTTGTGGGTGTGCGTGACCCCCGAAAAACCACGTGTTTTGGCATGGCCGTGTTGAAGTTTGGGTTGTCGACACCCCACGCTGTGTGCTATCAATCACGACCGGACGAAAGTGGATTGCTGTGCATGTCTAGTGGGAGGGCGCTCGTCCCCTTCTCTCCTGCTGTCTGTCATGTTTTCGTTGATAGTTACGGCAGCCCCAGCAACACGGCAGCAGCAGTGGCTGTTGCATTGTATCAAATGAGAGCGATTATTTGCCGCCGGCTCTTTCGTGCAGTGTTTTTGCGCTGCCGCCCGCGCAATTCTGCGGTTTAGGTGCATGCTTGCATGCACCGCGTTTGCTTGGACAGGCAGGACACGCACAGCAGAAGCGTACGGATGGTTTTACGTGCATGTGTGCAAACTGCTGCACATGATTCTTTGGAAATGGCATTTGCATACATATGCATGCACATTTTGTTTTCGAGCCTCTATTTTTCTTGTGCCACTTTCCGCCTTGAGCGCTCTTGAACGAACCGGTCAGGTCAGGTGTCAAAGTGTCAAAGTCAGTTTGAGAAAAAACACACGAGGCCATTTTTCTCTTTTGGTATCCAAATCCAATCCAATGTAGAGTGAGACCTGTGTGCTTCGTTAGTTGACCTGTGTCTTATTCGCCCTATACACACAGGAGGTCACGGAAGCAAGAAACCCTCGCGTGTGGAATGTACCCCCAAAAGGCCATACGCATTGGACACGACTCTAGTTTGCCACAACAGATCTTGTACAACAACCACCACCCACCAACCACATCTTCTTCGAAGATTCGCCGTGATTATTTTTTGTTCGTTTTTTTTTCGTCTCCTGGGGGGGAGAGTTGAAAATGAAATGAAAAAAGCCCGCCTGGGAAATCGTAGACATACAGGTACTTTCTGACGCTATGAGTGTATTGCTAATCTGTCTCAGACTCTTTTCTATAATAGAGATGGATTCGTTGTGTTTTTTAATGTGAAGACAACACCAACAACAACTGGAGTATTAAGAAAAAAAAAAAAAGCTTGCTGCGGCGAATCGGGAAGGAAACCACCTTTTGGTCCGCGCCTTGTTGGATCCACTACGCAGGGACGTGGGAGAGGCACACCATATAGAGAGGAACACGACATGTAGAGAGAAAGAGGTGAAAGGTTGTTCCTGGTCGACTTGGCGGGTATCTTCGCCAATGCCTCCTTGTTGTCGTGTTTCAAAACAGCGGGCGCGCGCCCTGTTTAGGTGCAGCATGTTGTAAGAAGCATCTTGTTGGTTTTCGGTAGATGGGTTCGTTGCGTGGCACCGACCGCAATTCGCAACAGCATCAGGGGAGGGAGGTTATGTTGGAGTTTGGGGTTGCAGGGTCAGAGGTAGCGGCCCGGGGGGGGGGAGGGGGGGGTCAAACTTAGTACTAGCCACAACAATTTTGGCTGTTTGGGGCGGCCGTTACACGCCCGGTAGGGTCTGCTCCCCCTGTGCACATCACAGCGCGTAATCTGCTGGGCAGTTTAGGTTTGTCGCCATGAACGAATGAACCACCCCCTGAAGATTCTCCGCTCCTCCGTCCAGTTACTAAATGTAGAGTACGCTGTTGTAATTGCACCCAGAGCAGATGTTTGTATCAACTGCTGTACCATCTACGCCCAGTAGTTCCCTGTGCAAAGAAAAAAGTATGCTGTAGTAGCAGATCCCCGCGGGTGTCGACTACAGTTTACGTATTTACTATTTATATTGCTGCTATTCCAGGAGTGGTCCAGGAACACCTTGGCCTGCTAAGGTGGGCGCCGGTAGAACAACAGCAGTAGTTGCCCTATGTTGTACCTGGTCCTCTTCGCGGTAATCTACATCTTGTTTACGTGTCAATACTTCACGAACTACTTGTACTACTGTATGAACTGCTGTGTGGAGAGATCGGAATGGTTTGTAATGTGGAGACACTATAAAACACACACAGAAAGACTACCCATTCGAGATATACCCACAGTCGAACGGGATGTGGTGGAGTCTTTTCAGTGAGTGGAGGGAAACCGGCTATCTATGATACAGCTGCAGTAGTTGTAACGGCGCGGCTCTCGGCGGCATGACGACAGCTGTGTGTGTATGCTCTTTACGAATGTTCACGAGGAACGTTTGAATTTTTTTGTTGCTTAAAATGGTAGTCTCAACCAGGTCTCAACCTCTGGTTTGACTTTGCCATAAGGCTGAACACGGAAGGCGCCCGAGTAGGCATTTGTGAAGACAACACAGAAGTTGTTGCCGCTCTCATCGGCTCTGCTTACAGTAGTTGAAAATACACGATCTATTTTCTGGTTATTGTTCTTTGAGCATACCCGCCGAGACATGGTGTGTTGCTGTAATGTACAAGAGCGGTTAGGGTAGGTCCTAACGAAGAAATCAGATCTCGAAATCACAGATAACATTTCGATATAAGAATAAAAGAGTCGGATCTACCCAAATCCGGACAGAAATGGCCCGTGTGTCTTAACGGGAGATCTGCCAAATGGAAGCGAATCTCTGCAGTCCACCGCGAACCGCGAACAACCCGAGAGGTCCGCCGCTTGCCGACTGCCAGATTGCTGTTGTGACGTACCGTTATGACGCGGCCACACCACATGGGGAGCTATTGCTCTCGAGAAGCACACACCAAACGCGTACATGGCCTCTGTGCGGTAACTCACACGATGTCTGTGCATTTTTTTTTTTTTTGTTCTTCACTTCAAATCAGCGCTCACAGCACTTGTGCCGTTTATTCCAACCCGTGGTCACACAGAAGAGCCTCTCTCTACCCTCCCCTCCTGCTGTACTTCGCCTTCAATTTTTAATGCGAGAAGAGTTCAGCACTCTCTTGCCTCTGTGTACACACGAACTAGCGCTATCCACTAGGCCAGGAGCGGAAGCGAGAGAAAAACTCACTTTGCAAGAAAAGCTCGCCTACGCCGGGATTCGAACCTCTGACCTGACCTCTAGAAGGTTACGAGGCTACCAACTATACCACCGGGGCGACCGGCATGAGAGACTTTAAATCGGGCCTCGTCCGACGGAAAGCCACCAATTCGTCTGTGCATTTGAGGTTCGACAACCCACGGGAGATTGTCCCACAGACCAACACATCCCATGCATGTTTTTTTTCGGCGCCAAGCACGTGCAACAACAATGCGCAGTCACTCTCCCTTTGGGTTGGCTTTTTTGTGCTCTCTCTCTCCTCTGTGCCCGGCGGTCGATGGAGTTCGTGTGGATGGGGGTAGGTGGGCGCGCGCCGTGCATGCGAGTAGACACTGTGGTCCCGCAACTATGGTTGCGGTTCACCCAAATCGGGATCCGATTAGCAATCAAGAGGGAGCGAGGAACAACCTGTACGTTTGCCGAAGCCTTGGAGCGAGCGTTTGTTATTTGTTACTTCCCCACAACGATTTCAAGTACTTGTTATTTCCAGAGCGACCGCCTTTTTCAGAGCTGCTCTCGGTGCATTGGTCAGGGAGCAACTGAGCTATTGTAGTTTTGAAGTTCGGCCCAGGAAGCGTGCGATGGCGTGCACACCACTTAACGCCGCGGTTACTAATGGACCTCGCATTCGAGTAATGTAGATACCCCCCCCCCTCTTCCCGGTTCGGGAACTCACTATATAGACCCACACCAGACATTGCGGGAGTAGGGATGTGTGTTTTCGATACCCTGAGAGATCACCGCTGCACAGCTGAAGTCTGCAAGAATGTTCCGCGAGGATGAGCACAAGCACCGCTATGTACATACAACACGATTTTTGAAAAATATAATATTTTCCGGGTGCTTTGTTTTCCTCTACCGATAGACAACGCTCTGAAACCGAAGTATCCCGGGCTTTATTTTCCACCGGTAGAAGTGAATACGGAGATATGGGGGCGAGGACTCTCTCAGGCCGACGGCGCACATCGTGTCTATCGGGAGAGATGCGGTGTGTGCTTTTTCTCTGCCATGCACGTTGACTATAGGCGGACCGACAAACAACGAACTACAAGTATGCGTGCTTTCTTTGGGAGTATATGTACATAATTTGCCTGTTGTTTGATCGTTACGACTGCGCCCGGGGCATTGGCCGCCAACCGACGGAACTTCAAGTATTTGAACGCACAGCAGTGATGGAGACATTCGCAATTTGCGAGCGCACAAGGTTTGATCAGCAGTGGCGAACAAGCTGGTTGTTGCGCTCGCAACGCCCGCAAGACGTCTGGTTGGTGGAGAATTAGGTTTCGTCAGATCGGAGTAGCCGAGTAGCCGGTGGGAATGTCGAGGGCAAATGGGCTTGGCTTGGCGTGGCGTGCAGCACGTGAGCACGTGTATGCATACGCTATGCGAAGAAAACAATGCCTCCGATGAGATTCCTTGACTTGGCGCCGTGGAGTACTCTGATACAATACAACACCACCCTTGGTACGGTTGAGGCCTCGCTTTGACTCGGCGCCATGGCGTACTCTACTAGCAACACCTCCCTGCACTGTTTAGCCTCTCTCAGACCTGGCTCTGTTGGGCCTGCTCTATCGACTCTATACCTCTCATGTCTCACTCGTTGGTCTTGTCGATCTCCCGCTCCTCTCTCTGTTTCTTTCATCTCCCCTTTGACAAAGAGAAATCACGAAATTTACAAAATACCATGAGAATCTAACTACTTTTGCATCCGTGATGTAGATTTAGAGCGGGCCGGGTGCGGGGGGGGCGGGGTGCTCATTTATATGTACCATGCGCCGCTGCTGCTTTTTATGCTAGGTGTCCCGCCGATGTTAATCATCAATATGGATGCAGCAGCATCGTGTGTGCTCTGCCCGACACGGGATGGACATGTGTACGGCTAGCGCCTGCACTTTCAGAACTCAGAACCTCTGGCTTTGGCCGACGGTGGGGTTCTTCAGTAGTTCCTACATGCAAGGCGGCAGATCGTGGACAACCACCTCAACCTGTTGGTGAACGGTCGGTCTCATCGACGGAATCCCGCAGCACATGACTTCCATGATGGACAGAATGGTAAGCTTGGCTTCGGCCCCTAGTGCTACTGTCCGAAGTATGTCTCAAAGGTGGCACCGACATACTCTCGACAGAAGCACTACGGTCCGCAGTCAAGCTTACCATTCTGTGCATCAGGGAGTCACGTGCGGCGGGATCTCCTCGCTGCGACCGACCGTTCACCAACAGGTTGAGGTGGTTGTTCACGATCTGCTGCATCTTCGCGAGGGTGGACGACAGGTCGCCGACAGAGGCATTTGTTGGCACGTCGCACCTATGCATGGTGGGAGTGCGAGCAGCGGAAAGTTTTGAAAAGAAATGATGAGGATCGAAGGGTAAAACAGCTGAACGTTTTGTCCGTCGTGCGTAGGTGGTACGATCTCTTACATCCCCCCCCCCCCCCAACCTCCATTACGCTTTGATGTGTTTGACTAACGTTGCCCCCGCAGCACGGGACTGGGATGAACGTTGGACAAGCAACGGCAGGGGCGGGGGGGAGCATCGCGGCGGGCGACGGCGGCATTGGCGAGCACAGCAGCAGCAGCAGCAGCGGTGTCAAGGCGGAGCCCGCCCTGGGCGCGGCGGCGCTGGAGAAGGTGATGGCTGCCGCTAAGGTTGCCCAAGAGGAGCAGCAGCGGTGCGCGGAGGACCAGAGGGCGGTGTGCGATCTCTGCAATGTCCGCAGGGCCGACCTGCGGGGCCCTTGCGGGCACAAGTACCACGCACGTGAGTAGTAGGTGTAGTAGTAGTAGTGTCTCTTGGTGAGGTTGTGGGGGTGGCGGCGGTGTCCCGTTCCATTTTCTTTTTTTCGTGAAAACTAATTTTCAATTCTCAAGTCTATGTAAGAAGTGCTCCTTGGCCCCCCTGCGCTTGGCGCGGGGGGCGGGGGGCGGGGGGGGGGGGGGGGGAAA